GATATGATGTACATGGTCCCGGATGAAATATATGAGCCTTTGTAGAAGTAGGTGACCTACGAAAAGATGATGGATCCCAAGGAGATGTAAAGGCATTAGGAGACTGATAAGTTTGCTGATGAAAGTCAGCACGAATGGGGGAATCCGCTTCATTTACATTATCGACAAAGACATCAACTGTAGGATCCTCTACTTCATCGCTGAATGGATGAATCTCCATCTAATATGCTTTAGAAGCCTCTTCCAACGTAGGCTTAAGTGTGCAATGAATAACAATCTATATAAAAAATGAGAGGTACTTAGTTTTCAGAAAGTACACAATATATTTTAATCTACATGTAAAATATACTTACATTTGGTTCCTTCAGACTTGTATAAATATCCTTAGAGTTAGGCATTTCAGAAAAATTTCATCGACATATCCTTGGGAGGTCAACCTCATCTAAAATGTTAGCATATCTCCGTCCGATAGATGGTATGGCTTCATAAGCCCAAATCTGCATAAGATTCACAATATTACAATCTAAATAGAATGAATAATAAATTGTAATTTTAAAAGCTTTACCTGCAATGCGAGTGGAAATCCATAAACTGAATATGGATATTTCTCATTATTTACCAAGTATGACTTCACCAAGAACCTCCAATCTCTCATGAATACATCAATTGTGCAGGCAAAAGCTTTTCTCCCCCAATGATAACTATTGAAAGCCTCTAAGTCATCAACCATTGACGAGTGTTCTAAATTTCTGTATGTGTAGTTTTCTTTGAGTAGTAATACCGTTTCCAAAATATATACAAGCCCAATCTTGTACTTATCTTCCATGCTCACCTTGCGATTTTCAATAGCTTCCTTCAAATTGTAAACAGTTATGCATTTCTTATACTTTTTAAAGTGTTTCTTCCCAGTCTATCATTATTCACAATATGGGGCTCTAATCAAGGCTCTTCACTAGCTCTCAACCCCATTATCAATATGAACTCATATAATGAAAATCTTGTTGGCATACCACCAATCGAAAACTAGATCTCATTTTGTTTTTTGGTACAATCATCCTCATTACAAGCTGTGGATTGGTTGTGCTGAAAAAGGTATATGCTTCATTTCATATGTTTGTCCAAAACAAGATTTCATGAGCCTTTTTTGGTGAACATCATCTAACATCTCTCGAACAAAGTCAAGTTTCTGAAGGGAGCACTTCTGTAAAGGTCTACCTTTAATTCTATTTTTAGTGAGAGTCACGAATCAAATGAGTGTTCCAATCCTACATCAATGAACAAATATGAAGAATTTATAGTAATGTTAAGTAATACTTAGTACAATTCATTTTAAAAAATAGATAAATGGCAATGTGACATTTTTTAGAATTTCGTAAATGACAAGGTGCCATTTTCTGAACTAGATAAACTTCAGAGTGCCATTCTGGAAGATTCGGCAACTAATATATCAATTATCACAAGCTCAACCAAGTAAATACAATTTTCATCATGGAAAAACATACAAAATACTACCATATATTAGTTACAGTAAAAAAAAAAAATCACGATCTTTTATTACTCTACCATATTCCATTTCATGCAAACCTCTTGAATCCAACACATCTCACTAGAGAAACTCACATTATAGGAGAAAAAATAATTCATCCATGTCCCAATGACGAACAAATACCACAATACAATATAAGTGTTCATCAAAGAATCGTTAATAGTAAGTATTTCATGGAACTTTAAGAAAAAGAATGAGCTCAAAATCTCATATCTTATCCCTCTGCATAATCAACAAAATCCAAAACCTTAAAGAAGACACTTGGTTAAATAACACAAAATAGTGTCAATTTGCTAAGACTTCAAGAATATCATAGAATATCCATTTCATAACACTAACATTGCAACTAACATGACATTTAAATATTTTTCAGCAACCAGATACTTACATATATAATTTTCTATAGCAATTTTTATTAAATTGTCATCTTTGCTTCCAATTATTAGTTCAACACAAATTAGAATCCGAAAGAATCATAACTTGCTAGGAAATTTTTTTTAGTCTAGAAGCAAAAACCCCTCAAACAATAAGGCAACATAACTAGAAGACAATTGCGATATTTCATTTTCTGGGAAAAAAAAAATAATTTACTTATTGCAATTTGCCACAATTTCATCATGTAATTTCTTTATATGAGCAAGTCTAATTTTCGTGAAAACGCATAAGCCTGTGTTACCTCAAACAGGAGTAAGTCATATTCAAACAACAAAAGTAGACATAAATCAAATTCGAAATTATCTATGGTGCTATGTACCCCAAGTCTGCTTACAAAAGTGGAGATAAATCAAATTCGAAATTACCTATGTGTACCTCAAGTCTGCTTATAAGTCCATCTATATATGTTCAATATCTCACACTCAGAATACTCTGCTACATATATTTTTTGCCAATTTGCTTATAAATCTACATCATGAAGAATAAAACAAAGAAATAACATGTTTTCAAATTTGTAGTTACAAGCAGAAAGTTAAATTTGTAAGTAACTTTTCCTGTAATTCAAAGCAACAATGAAAAAGGTGAAGAGAAAATTGAATTCCAAAACTTAATCACTACATATAAGAAACATGACTAAAATAAAGGTCTAAACAAGCCTACTCTATCAGTATAATTCTTGCTACACTAATTTCTCTAAAAACATTTCGCATAAAATCATAGTAAAAGTGAAAAATTGAGGAAACATTCATACATGGGGATAACCCACTATGAAATTGGTTCTTAGAAATGATTGTTCATGTATGGATGATCTTTCATGAGTTTCAGTTCTATCAATCTTGGGAAATGGAAGAAACCTTCATACCAAATTCCTCCTTACGCTCAAGAAGACGAAGGCAACCGATTTTGAATGGTAGAAGGATTTGGAGATGACAAAACCACGAAGAGAAAATAAGAAGGGTTTGGACATCACGAAGACAAGAAAAATATTAGATTTAAGATTT